TTTTATTAAATAAATACTTTAAAATATTTATACAAAAAACTATAGAAATACATAATATAAAATATATGAAAATAATAAAAGCAAACATCCTAAAATATTTTTTCTACAAAAATATGTTTAATTTTTTATCATATGAACTTTGTTTTTTCCTTTTAAGTTCCTTTTTAAATATAAATATTAATATAGATGTTCGAATATTAATTATGTACGAATGAATTATATTAAGATCATATTTTAATCTATTATTTTAAGTAAATATATCTCTTCTGTATTTATAATATATGTAAATTAATTAATGCGAATTTCTATATTTTTGTCTCAAGTATTCTTTCGAATATTATATTTTTTTCGTATTACTATTAGTATACTTTTCGTGTACTATTCTTCGAGTACAAAATAATATAATTAAGCTTGTATCTTATAACATAATTCTATCCGTATTTGCCTCATCATTCTACATTACTTTGTTTTTCTTTGATTGCAGAACAATTATACTCAGGTTCTCGTTGATGCATAGTCGTAGTATTTCTAGATTTATTTGTGTTTTAAATATTTCGATTTTTAAAATTATACTCATATTTTTTCTAGTATAATTTCGTATAAACCTAGTATTTTCATTGTTATACTTTTAAAAAATTAATAAACTGTTTTATTCCATAATAAAAATTTAATATGTATAATATTTATTTATTTTGTATTTTTTAAAATGACTATACTATATAAGTATATAACCTTATGAATTATTATATGCCAAAGTAATAATACATACATTTCAAAATAATTTTCTCTTTTATTTAATGTACTTTTGTGTTTCAATAGTATTGGCAAATAACTTTTTCGTAGCAATTTATAATTTACATTTAATTAATAGACAAAACTAATATTTATAAATTTTATTTTATATTATTATTAAAAAAAAATAAAAAAAGTATATATACATTGAAATATTAAAGTAAATGCTAATATATATATATATATATATATATATATGTAATAAAGTATGATATAATTTTATAATTCTGATTAACTGCATGTGTCTAATGAATAAGCTTAAATAACTACAAGTATTTTTAAAACTGTCTATTATTACGTTATTATTAGTTGTAGATATATATTATTAATATAATTTGTATATATATATATATATATATATATATCATTCATAACCAAAATACAATAAAATGCTTCGTAATTCGTTAAACATAATGTTTATAAAAGTTAATTTACAAAAATGACACTGTTAAATTTTATACAAATTAAAAATATAAAAATTGTTTAATACATTATAAAAATATTCCATTGGTTGATGAGTATTATAATAGAATTGATTTTCTAAAGAAATAGGTTTTTTAATCATTTTTGGTATCGCATTGAATATTACAACTTAAAAATAAATTATACTTGAAATTAATATTTTTTCATTAAATATGAAATTACCTTATTTCTTCTCTTATATAACATAATTGCAATATTATTTGGATATTTTATTTGTTATCAATTTATATACAATAAGATAGTATGGTGTGGAACAATAGATGAAATGGGATTGTATCGGTATTTTCTTATTTTCTTTTTAGCGTTTATATATTTATAGTAAGTTATTGTACTAAATAGTCTATACGTTCATCTATAATTAGTTAATTCTCTTATAAATATTATTTAATATTTATAAAATTTAATTCAAATTAAATGAATGAAATTCATATATCAATTATGAATTTATTACCATATACATAAAATATGAATCTATCATATTCATTATAATTTATTGTTATACTGGAAAACATATTTCATATATATTATATATATTTGAAAACCTGTGTAAATCCGTAGGTTTTATTAAACGTATATTGTTTTATAGAAAAATCTATTATTTAAATAATTAATTTTACTTAGAAGATTCTAATATTCTGATTAATTGAAAATAATGTTAAAAAACTTTCCTATTTATTTTGCCCCTGATGTATTACCCCCACGTGCTCTTTTTCCATTTTCTCCCCACCAATCGTTGACTCATGAGTACCTTTTATCGACGCAAGGTTGTAGCGGCTCGATAAACCCTGTTCCATGACCTAGCCAGCCACCCTTATTACTATATAGTGAAATGCTGAATTAATATAGCTATGATGCTCATACATTTTTCGACTACCTTTTCAGGTATACATAAAGACTTTTTCAATTTAGTTTGATACAACTTGCAACAAGAATTGTTGTTGTAACTTTCATACTAAAATTAATTGCAATTGGAAATAATCATAAATAAATTGGGAGCATTATAATTTATATTGAAGTGTATTTCCATTTAAACATATAAAGAATTGATACATAATTGCTATACAATTTAAATGCGTATTAAAGGCATTTAAATTATTATTTTTCTATCAAAATAATTTAATTATTTATAATTAGTCACAAATAAATTTAATTTACACTTACATAAATTTACTGCACATAACAAGATCATCTGATTATTTATACTTAAATTTCTTGGATCATGTGTACTAATATAAAATATTTTATGTATATATGCATACATATTTGAGAATTTTTCTTTTATGAGTTTGTTGCTTTCAAGAAATATATATTTTTTCATTAACTTACTTATTGTACTTAATACATTTGTGCATAAAAAAAATTATTATATTACTCATCCAAAAATATACAATCGTTTATATGAGAAAAGATATCCAAATCAATAAACTTTTAATTCGTTAGGGAACAGATAATAGTAATTGTATTATTGCATGATTATTTGCAACTTGTAATATTAATTGTAAAATTACTTGTAAAATTTACACGTAAATTTTAAGAAGAATTTTATCATAAAAAAATTAATAATATAATCGAATTTCATTCCGATTAGATATTCTGAAATAAAAATACTTGGATTTTATAAATATAATATTTGCATTTTTAAAATTATTACAGAAATAGACTATTAAATCAATAACAATAAACTAATTTAGTTTATTCTATAATAGCTACATTTACATTTTTTAATGAATTTTGTATACACAACGTTATCACATAGTAATTTTTTTTTACAATCTAGAATATATCAAAAGTATATTTATAGTATTTATTTCTGTTTTTTGTTTCTTTTATTTATTAAATATATCTATTACGTCTTACATATAAGATTGGAATGATCGAAAATTATATAGAAAAAGATGAATTTATATCTTTTTCTAATAAAAATTAAATATATTAAATAAATTTAATAAATGAGAAAAAAAAATTAATCAAAATTTATATTCAATTTCAAAGAGATGAGTAGTATGGAAAACTTATCAAAATTTTTGATAAACTAATTCTTATTTAGAAACTTTTTATTATTATTACCTATTATTTTTTAAAAACTACCAAATTTAATATAATTTTATAAACAATTTGCATGAGATAATAAAGATAAAATGAAGTCTAAAGTATTTACTACATTCAAGCTCAAAATATTTAATAGAAAATTAAATTAAAGTCAATAATTAATAATAAAATTCCTGTTAATACTTATATTACATGAATTTTTTCAAAATAATTAAAATTGTTTTTAATAAGCAATTTTTTCGATTTAATATTAAGTAAAGATGTATGTAATATATGATATATTTTAAATAAAGTAAATGTAAAAAAATATTTATTTTAATAATTAGAAATTAGTATAAAAGATCTAGTTATTTGTTTACATAATTGGAGTAGAAAAACAATTTCTATATTATTGTTGTTAATAGGATACAGTTAATAAAAGCCTAAATAGTATAAATTTTAAACTTAACATAAATGTTACTATAATTAATTCATTTCAATTCCAAGTAATTTTTACTTTATTTATACTTTTTATTAACATTTTTTAATTAAAATTTGCTCTTTCTTAATGTCTTGCTGATTTTATGATTTAGAAAAATTATTTAAAATTTTAAATAATTTTAAACTGTTTAGATCATTTTAAATATAAAAATATATGTTATGAAAATATAAGACAGAAATTATTAAGAAATATAATAAACAAATAATATTTCTTCATTTTATCTTGTTGTAACTTGATAGAAGATAATAATATTAGCATGTATTTACAGATAATAATAATACACAAGCTAAGCTATATTTATCTTTTTTATTTTCAATTAGTCTCGTTTTTTGTTACGTGTTCTTTTATTATGCTAAGCAAGTTTCATTTGTATTTTTAACACTAAATGCTGCATCGCGTTTCTAAGCTAACGTAATTCATTTATAACCATTGAACTCCAACAAAGAAAAAAAATACTGGTTAATTCCTATATACCAAGGAATATCCTTATTTTAGAGAGATAGGATTCGTGCATATCTCGTTCTGTCTAGAACTCGTTTCGTGTATAGAAAGTTTATATATTTTTATGAGAAAAAACTCAAATATGAATTTCCATTTGATTTTGCTATGCATAGATATCTGTAATAATTCAACTACAATTATAGAATAATTATCTTACGTATTATCCTTCATGGATGTCTCTAAGTAGATATAATTGTTCATCAATCAATGCATTACATCGTAAAGTTTTAATAGATCGTATATTTTTCTTAAAATATTTTACACAAATATTATCTATCATTTTTGTTTAAGTTTAAAGATGAAAATATATTTTCAATTAATAAAATATTTGTATCACTGTACTACTAATGGTGGAATAAATATGATCCTAGAATTTTTTATCTAAGATTTTTTATGCTAAGCTAATTAAATATATAATATAAATATAAAAATTAAATTTAAATTCTAAAAGTAGATATAAAAAAGAAATAAAGTTCTTTCTCTCTCTCTCTCTCTCACTCTCTCATAATATATTTTATAAGACCTACTGATCAAAATAGTGATACAAAATCATCTTAAAATTTGCAAAATATAATCATAATATATAAAGTAATATACTGATTTAGATTTATTATATTAATGTCACATTGTATATGGAGAAAGAATCTAGTACTGTTTATTTCCATGTACAAAACTTGCATTAAAATTGTTTCAGGTCTGTCCTGAAGAAGCAAACTGCAATGTTCATGAAACATCAACTACTAACAAATCATATATGACTGAAATCCGAAAATCCATCACAACTAACTCAAATGATCGTGAAAGCTTCAAATCGATCACTAACGTTGTATGTATACATTTTTATTCGTATACAATGTGCTTAGTATAATGTACTTATAAGTACTGGGCTATTATGAGTTAAAAATAATATATTACCAATTTATATGCATTTAATATTTTAGTTATACTTTTGAGATGAAAAGAAAAATTAATTTTCTTTTACATGTTGAACCTTATGAACAAAGATGGTATTATCATTTTCATAATCATTAGACTTTTTATTTAGAAGAATATTTTTTTGAAAGGTAAAGAATTGCATATACTAAATATTGTATTATCATTATAAATTATTATAACAATTAATATTGTAATTTAGGAAAATATTTATTCATTAATAATATATATAATTTTATATATAATTTATAAATTTAACTTAAACCAATATTCTATTAGATCAATTTTATAATAGTGAAGATAGAATTAAATAAATTGAATTGAAGACAACACCAAAATATTTTTAATATTTTTAGAATAATGAATTTAGTATTATAATTAAAGTACAATAAATTTTTTAACAAATTAAAAATATAAATAATTATTCTGCTAAAACTGATATAATATCAGTTAATGTTGAAATATTTGTTCAGATATATTTTAATACAATACAAATATAACAGAGCCCACACAAATTTTAGTAGTAGGGTTCGTTACGTAAAATGAGGGTTTGATCTTATTCGTTTTCAAGGACGACTGACACTTGTTGCATCTATGCACGTTGTATAGTTTAGTTACATGTACTTTTATTCGATTCGATTCGAGAAAGAAAGTTAAAATAAAAAAAAGAAAGTTAATATATATATATATATATATATATAATTAATTTTGAATAAACTTGAAAGTGGGTGTGTGTTTTAAAGAAAGACAGAGTCAGAGTGAGAAATACTGAGAGAGTAAGAGTGGGAGGGAGAGGAGTACGTTTCCATGTGGATAGAGAACAATTCTTAGACCGATAATAATAGGCTAACGACGAGATACTATTGCAGCATAAATATCAATAACCAACCAGTACACTTCTATTTTTAAATTTTCTCCCTATATTTCCTACGCGCGCTCTCTCTCTCTCTCTCTCTCTCTCTCTCTCTCTCTCTCTCTCACTCTCTAGAGTTATGAATTTTGCGCGCGCAAGCTCAAGAGCTGAAGCAAAAATACATAACCCAATGTTACTAGATACGATATTCTTTACGTCATTCGTGATTTGCATATTCGCTTTTCATTACTGTTTGTCATATTACCCTAATATTTAATATGTAAGGAATAATATTAGTCATTTGAAAACGAGTAGTTGTCTATAAATTTTATTCTGAATGTATAATTACGTAATGTCACTTGATTTCAGGAAATTATTCTTAATTTTAGAACAAATTTGACAAAAGATTAGATTGATTCTTACTTCTAAAAGAAAGATTAATGTTCCATAGTAATCGGTAAATACTTACTAGATACATAACATACATTAGAATGATGTATAATAAATAAATAATTAAGATCTGAATATTACAATTTTATTAGATATATATTGCATCAATTATCTAAAGTATCAAATTAGATATTATTTACTTATTAATTAATAAGTGAGAAAGTACAAGAAAAAAAAGAAGTAAGAAAATTTCATATACCATTTTTTGTGTGAAATGAATGTATTTATTTAGAAGTATGCATAATTGTATTCATAATTTATTTATATACTGGCGCTAACATATTGCATTTAAAGATATTATATTTATATATTTGTGAATTATATGAATAAAATAAATTATTATCATATGAAATTAAAATAAAACATGCAAAAAATATATAACAATAAATCAATAACTTCTTTTACTTAAAAATTTGTAAGTATTTTGTCAAGATACCGAAGAGATTTTTAAATATTTCTTTTCTTCAATATACTGTTTGAATTTGTTTTCATTTCAATTATTAGGATGAAAATAAATAATATTTTTATTCCTGCAATAATATAATATTTTAATAAAGTAACAAATAAACGAAAGCATTATACAAATAAGAATAATTCAAAAGTAATTTAATTATTTTATTGACAAATATTGATAATTTCTTGAAATTGCTATGCCAAATTAGATAGCAATTTTATAACAATTTCACTTACTAAATATTTGGATAATTTTGTTATTAAATTAGTTAATTAGTTGAAAATTTTAGAATAGCATATAGTTTACGTCATTTAGAAATTAAAATAATTGTAAATTTATATATAAAAATTATAAAAAAAAAAATTGAAATTTTGTTACATCTAAAATATTTTAATTATTAATGGTTTTTCAAAGTCAATAATTATTTTTATTATAATAAAAACTATTTCAATTTCATCACTATGTATTAATAATTAATATTTTAATAATATAATTTATTAGCATTTATGTTTCTTGTGAATACATTCATATTATATTTATATTACAAAGAATAGTTTTTTATTGAAAATTATTATGAATCAATTGTATTATAATATTATATGTATTATAACTATTATTTTTATAAATAAATGAATTTAGGAACAGGAAATACTTACATTTAATTGAACTATATATGATTTTATAAAAAATTAATTTTAACAAAATTTTACATTATTAATATATTACAAATTGGGTAATCAATATTGTATAATATATTGCTTGCAATATTATTTGATTCTACCTATACCAATTTATATATAAAAATTTATATTTTGAAATAAGACTCATACTTAATAAATTAAGAAAGAAAACAATTATTTTATGGATTTAGTATGGTACATTCACGTTATTAACAAATTTATGTTCATAGTATTTTATATTTTGTATTCGTAAATTTCATCAAACTTTATTCCTTTCCAAAAATTCTTTCATTTTTGCTGAGATCATTTATAATATATTCAGTAGTTTCTTGTTGACGATGATATATCTTTTAAATATGATGTTTCTTCGTGCAGTCGTTTTCCAATCTCTACGTATTTCTGCATCAGTAGACCTCCAGTAGGAAGTATTTCTGGATCGACAGAGCTGAGGTTGAAATAATATTAGTAGTAATGATAATAGAATTTTCACTGCATTTTATACCTTCCCTCTGTCTTTAACTGGCTGGTTCATTATATATGTGGATTATTTATTGGATGGTATGGGGTCGTTTTGAATAAACAAGCAGCATTTATGTCGATAGCAATTGCGTTGGCGGGTTGTTTTATCGACTCGCCAACAGAGTCGATCATCATGTGTATCTCATAAAATGCTTGTAGTTAAAATTTGCTTTTTGTTCGAAGTATGTTGATCAGTATGTTTTATAAATATATATTTTCATTTATATTCTATAATAAATATTAATAATATTATATATTAAAGATTAATATTGAATGGAATATTCAAAATATTATTGATAATTATTAGTATATGGATTTATAAATAGCTATATTAATTAATAAAATTCTAATTAAAAGAACTATACAAAATAATATACATTCAAAATGAAACTGTTTTTTATTGACAGTAATATTGAAATTTTCTTTTAAGATTTGATTGATATGATTAACAATCATATCTAAAATAAGTTGAAGATATTAAATATATAATATTTTTGTAAATTACATTATTTTTGATTACTATAAAACTTTTGTAATAATTATATATATAGAGTATATATATAGAGTAATACAATATTTTTTACAATATTTTTTAACTTATAATTTTTAAAGTAACGACTTGTATATTTACATGATCGTACTCTCCATGTTTCGCATATTATTATATCTAATATAGTAAGCCATAAATCAGATAACTTTTACTCTTGACCTACATTTGTAAATTGGTGTATAAAAAATACTGGTTATGTATTGATAAATACAGTATACAATTATTATTAAATTAGTACTGTTGCTTAAAAACATTTTTAACCAGATTGCATGTAGCACATCGGCTTTAGATTTAATTATAATTCGGTGTATTTTTTTTATAATATATATATTTTTCATATATTTTTAAAATAAATTTAATTCTCTACATTATTCTGTAAAATTTATATAATTTTCCAAAGTTTTTTTATTTAAATATTACAAAAACATTAATTAATGTACATTTCATGTAAAAAATAATAGTATAGAATTCAGTATGGATAGAAAATTGAATTAATTTATTTCATAGTCTGATAATATTTATTATGATTAGTTACTGAGTGTGCGTTATTAAATTAAAAGATATCATTTAATGTTTTCTAAGATTAATTTTCTTATATAAGAATTTACCTTCTATTTATTCATAAATGTATATTTTTTTAATACAAATATTTTAGTCTTATGAAAAACCAAAATCTATATTATTAAAATACAGTAAACCGAGTAACAAAATTTTCTAAAAAAACCAATAAAAAAATTAATGAAATAAATAAAAAGTTAATTTGTCATATTTTTCAGAAGTTTTAATATGTTTGAAATAATAATAATACTAAGTTTCTATTAGTAAAATTTTAGTAAATAATAATTTGCTTTTAAATATTTCGCTATAATTTATATTTGAATGATTCATATATTTTAGTGCTTAGGTTAAAAGTATTATCAGAGGCTTTGATATTAAGAAAAATCAGAATTTTAATTAAATAGTACAATTGTGAATTAGTAAAAACTAGAAAAATGAACATTCGTAGATAATCTATAATAGTATTTATTTTGTAATATTAAGCTTAATCAGTATTAGAAATTGAAGTAGTTTCTAATTAAGTTGAATGATTAGCTAAGTCTGATTTGGTTTTGTCATTTACTACTTATTTACTGCAATGATAAGTGCTTAGCTTCTACATGTTTGTACACTGTTTAAAAATTGATAAAAAGGATTACTTTTCTAATTATCATAGTTCAATTTTGAAACTCTTTAATTTATTTACAATGAAAAATTTATAATAATTTATAATTATAAATTGCCTTATAAGTTATATATAACTATGTGAAAAATATTTAAAGAATAAATTCTTTAATTTCTAAAATTATTGATAAACTTCATTAAATTATTAGTTGTATGTTATATTAAA